TAATTAATGTAAATATTCATTGTTAATATTTATGAATGTTCACATATATACAATAACTTTTGGTATCATGGTATCATGCATGCAAAAAATGAAACATCATACATGAGTATCATATTTAGCATTTAATATATACCTTAAGTATGACATTGATACATATATACATATGTGTATACAAAAAGCATAGATGATATATCTATATTATATTATAAAGCATTTGATAAAACTCTTAAAAACCATTTTTTATACATGAAGTATTGTTTATTGATGCATATCTATACTATATTATAAAGCATTTGACAAAAACTCTTAAAAACCATTTTTTATGCATGAAGTACTGTATATTGAGGCATACTACTTAAAATTCAAGATTACAGTTAAAAGATGCATAAGTAGAACTTATTAAAGCTTCCTGTTTGAATTCGTATAACTAACTGCAGATAAATATAATCAAATAGAGGATAAACATATCATTTTAAAATATAAAATATCTAAATATAATTAGGATAATTATCGAGTTCTAACAAAATAATTAATTATTATTTTTATAAGAATATTATATTATTAAACCAAATATAAATTACTTCGTTATTGAACCTAAATTAAGTTACAATAAAAAAATTGAATTAAAAAATTACACAAAAATATGAATTTTAAATAGTTAATTTGATATTAATATCAATATATTTTTGTCAAATGTTTATGATATCTCCAAATTTATATTTTATTCAAAAATAAAAAATCATCGTTTTTTCAAAATCACATAAGACCATACTATAACATCGACTGAGATAAAAAAATAAAATGAAATATTAAAATCAAGATGTATCTCGTTGCATAGCGCGAGTACCCTTCTAGTTACTTAAAATTAAGGATTACAAGTAAATTATGCATATGCACAACTTATTAAACCTCCATTTTTGAATTCGTATAACTAACTGTAGATAAACATAATCATATACATGATAAAAATCACATTTTAAGTATAAAAAACATATAAAACATCTAAAATATAATTAAAATAATCGTTGAGTTCTAATAAAATAATTAATTATTATCTTTATAAAAAATTATATTATTAAACCAAAAATCAAATGATTCATTATTAGACCTAAATTAAATTATAATAAAAAAATTGAATCAAAGAAGTTACACAAAAAACGTTAACTTTTAAATAGTTGATTTGATACTAATATCGATATTTTTTTTTCAAAATTTTAATTATAATATCTTTAAAATTATTTTTTATTCAAAAATAAAAACATTATCATTTTCTCAAAACAATATAAAACTATATTATATCAATAAACAAAGAATAAAAGAAAACAATAAAATTGAGATGTATCTCGTTACATTGTGCAAACACCCTTCTAGTTATACGAAACAGAAAACCAAACATCAAAAACAAAAATACAATCTCTATAGCTCAATGTACAATACACCACTCACAAATCAAACCCCATTTTAAAAATATGATATTCTAATAAAAAATATTTTGAAAATATATTGCTGTAATAAGAAAAACTGAAAGTAGAATGCTATAATAAAATTTTTATTAAAGTAACTTGTTATTTCATACATTTTACCCAATTAAAAATTATAATATTCTAAACATTTAATAAAATATATTTTTTTTATAAATATTTAATTTTGATATTTTTTTTATTGATAAGAATATTATTATTAATAAAAAAAAGTTATTCATGGTAAACGTCAACTCTCTCCCCTACTTTCTGCAAGTTTTGAAAAATGTGTGGGGACTAGAAAAAAAAACTTATCTCAAAATTTTAAATAGTTTTTTAATTTTATATTATTTTTATTTTTATTTGTAAAATCAAATATACAAATACATATTACAACTTTAATTATTTATTTAATTTATATAATTTATTTAAATATCTTAATACAAT